CACTTACTTCCAGGTTCGCAGTGTTTGTGTTCCAAGTTGTTTGAATACCAAGGCGTTTGAGAACCAAGGTACCACTGCACATAATTCATTATTGTCCTATTCTTCCCATCCTCCATTCTGGAGCAGAGGGTGGCTAATCATCAATGAAGCAACAATACAAAACTGGGGGGGAAGGGATGGGACGTTGACACAGTTGAAATTACAAAAGTACAATAAAAATAAAGCTGTGATAAATACCTGTAGAACCACATTCAAAGCGCCCACTCTAAGCTCAACGTCACATTGGCACTGTTTAAGATATGCCCTCTCCCATATTAGCTTGGATAGAATCTCCCTTTTGCCACATTCTCCCCTGGTATAAATAAAGCACCTAGTTTTTACTGAGATGAGTTTCCCCTTAGCTTAAAACTATGTCTGTTTGCTCAGTCCTCCTGTCTTTAATTGTTCAAAGTAATTATTATTATTAGTAGTAGTAGTAGTAGTAGTAGTAGTAGTATTTATTCAATTTTTACCCCACCCTATACCCGGAGGTCTCAGGGTGGTTCACAAACAAGACGACAACATATAAAATCAAACCAAAAACATTAACCCAATTAAAAACAAACAAAAAAGAAGCACATTCTTAAAAGGTGTTGGATGTCGGTAAGGTCAACCAAAGGCCTGGTTAAAAAGGAATGTTTTTGCCTGGTGCCTAAAGGTGTATAATGAAGGCTCCAGGCAAACTTCCCTGGGGAGAGCATTCCACAAATGGGGAGCCACTGCAGAGAAGGCCCCGTTCTCGTGTTGCCAGACCTTCTGAACCTCTCGAAGAGGAGGCACACGAAGGAGGGCCTCAGAAGATCTCAGGGTGCGGGTAGTTTCATATGGGAAGAGCCGGTCCTTGAGGAATTGCAGTTCTGGGCTATGTGTGGTGTGTACAGACTGCAACCATAGGTTCTGCCATGATCTTAATCCCCAGCTGTTGCACCTGGCAAACCTACCTGAAAAGGAGACAATGGAACTTACTTCAAAGCAATATGCAAAGGATCATTTAACACAAAATGTCCTTTGAAAGGGGAGGAGGCTAGAAGTCAAGGGCAGATATTATCCTACATGCCATAAAGTACAGTGGTACCTTGGGTTACATACGCTTCAGGTTACATACGCTTCAGGTTATAGACTCCGCTAACCCAGAAATAGTGCCTCAGGTTAAGAACTTTGCTTCAGGATGAGAACAGAAATTGTGCTCCAGCGGCGCAGCAGCAGCAGGAGGCCCCATTAGCTAAAGTGGTGCTTGAGGTTAAGAACAGTTTCAGGTTAAGTACGGACCTCCGGAACAAATTAAGTACTTAACCTGAGGTACCACTGTAGTTACATCTGGTTCCTTGCTGTCAAAATATAAATCTTACATATCCCAAAAAAGTATAGAGGACTTAACATTATAGCATTATAGATGCTGGGCAAAGATAGGATTTTTTTACAAGTTTTTTTATTTGGGGAGGAGATAGTATTGACTAATATGCAAGCTAAGATGCAGCTAACAAATTTTATGGCAAATAGCTGCCGGGCTTTCCTTTAGAAGCCTGGTAACATGTGAATGTGCTGCCCCCTGCAGGATATTCATTGGTGTTAATTTATAGCTGTTGTAAATAATATTGTGCCTCTCAACTTTCTGACTGGTCTGGAAGTACCTTAGTGATTGGGGGTGCATGTTGAGGCCCCTTTGAGGAAGAGGTGTGCAAATGGAATGCTATCTCCAGTGCAAGCATCAACTGTCAGGGAAGCCTCGTAAACAATACTGAAACCAACGAGAGAGTTTGGCCCATCACATTTGTATCTATAAATGTACCGTATTTTTCGCCCCATAGGACGCACCGCCCTATAGGGCGCACCTAGTTTTTTTTTGGGGGGGAATAAAGAAAACAAAATTATTTCCCCCCCAGGCACGGGGCTGGCGCGGGGGAAGCCCGAGCTTCCCCCGACCCCAGCCCCCAGAACAGCCTGCTATCCGCAAGCCTAGGGAGCCGCACCGGTCCCCCCAGGCTTGCGGACAGCTGTGCAAAGCCCGGGCGCGCTCTTCAGTGCACCCGAGGCTTTGGAATGCAGGCAGCTCTGCACAACCCTCCGGCTTGGCGCCGGGCTCCGGAGGGTTGCGCAGAGTTGCGCGGAGCCCAGGAGGGCAGGCAGCTCTGCGCGACCCTCCGGAGGCCGGCGCGGCTTAGCGCCGGGCTCCAGAGGGTTGCGCAGAGTTGCGCGGAGCCTGGGAGGGTCGCGCAGAGCTGCACGGACCCCGGGAGGGCAGGCAGCTCTGCACGACCCTCCGGAGGCTGGCGCAGCTTGGCGCCGGGCTCCGGAGGGTTGCGCAGAGCTTCCTGAAGCCTGGAGAGCGAGAGCCTCTCGCTCTCCAGGCTTCAGCGAAAGCATGTATCCGCCCCATAGGACGCACCCACATTTCCCCTTCATTTTTGGAGGGGGAAAAGTGCGTCCTATAGGGCAAAAAATACGGTATCTATTTGAGGGAGCCCTAAATGGCCTCGGTCCAGTAGACCTGAAGGAGCGTCTCCAATCCCATTGTTCAGCTGGGACACTGAGGTCCAGCTCTGAGGGCCTTCTGGCAGTTCCCTCACTGCGAGAAGCCAAGTTACAGGGAACCAGGCAGAGGGCCTTCTTGGTGGTGGCACCTGCCCTGTGGAACGCCCTCCCACCAGATGTCAAAGAAATAAACAACTACCTGACATTTAGAAGACATCTGAAGGCAGCCCTGTTTAGGGAAGTTTTATGTTTTATCATGTTTTTAATATTCTGTTGGAAGCCACCCAGAGTAGCTGGGGAAACCCAGCCAGTTAGGCAGGGTATAAATATATTATTATTACTATTGTTATTATTATTTAGAGAGAGAGAGAGGAGGGGGTGCAAACCTGCAGTCCTTTATTCATTTGTACATGTCTTGCCAATCCTTGGCATGAGCTCAGCACACTATACTCAGATACAATTTTAGGTGAGTGTCCCAGGGGTAGCAGTGTATGTGTGAAAGCCGACAGGTTATTTGGGGATACGTAGCCCCCTCCTTCTAATGTGTTTGTGTGTACATCAGGTGGCATGGCAACACAACACATCTCTTAGTCTCCCAATAGCCTGGATGTGACATTTAGGGTGTCCCAAAACCTTATATGTTTAAAGTACAGTGCTCTAGTTATCTCCCACTTGGACTACTGCAACGCGCTCTACGTGGGGCTACCTTTGAAGGTGACCCGGAAACTGCAATTAATCCAGAATGCGGCAGCTAGACTGGGGACTGGGAGATGTTTCTATGATTAAAGTGAAACTGAGAATCCTAGAATTGGAAGGGACGTCCGGGCAGGGTCGTCTTTACCCAGGGGTGCAAGGGGTGCAAGGCACCTGGCCGCCAAATTCTGGGGGGAACCAAATGTATACCTACTGTATACTGGTCCCTCTTGATCGGTGGCTGTGAAAAGCAATGGAGCGAAGGTCCCCACCCCCCTCCTCTGTTGCTCTTTTACTCTGTAGCGTCAAATATTCCCAAAGAGTCAGGAAACAAAAGCGGGTTTTTCCCGCTGCTTCATTGTTACATGTGAGTGATTCCCCTCCCCAAAAAACCCTCAATAATTTGGGGGCAGCTAAACTAAAATTTTAAGGGACGCGGGTGGCGCTGTGGGTTAAACTACAGAGCCTAGGACTTGCCAATCAGAAGGTCGGTGGTTCGAATCCCTGCAAAGGGGTGAGCTCCTGTTGCTCGGTCCCTACTCCTGCCAACCTAGCAGTTCGAAAGCACGTCAAAGTGCAAGTAGATAAATAGGTACCACTCCGGAGGGAAGGTAAACGGCGTTTCCGTGCGCTGCTCTGGTTCACCAGAAGCGGCTTTGTCATGCTGGCCACATGACCCAGAAGCTGTACGCCGGCTCCCTCGGCCAATAAAGCGAGATGAGCGCCCCAACCCCAGAGTCAGCCACAACTGGACCTAATGGTCAGGGGTCCCTTTACCTTTAAACTAAATTGGGGGGCACTGGGCACATCTTTGTACCCCGGCTACGCATATGCTAAAGACGGCCCTGCCTCTGGGGTCACGTAGCCCAATCCCCTGTGATGCAGGAATATGCAGGTGGCCCCTACGAGGTCCCAATCCCTGGCGTCCTCAGCACCTTGTTATCAGCTCCCTTGTTATTTTTTGCTATGGATGCTGCATATAATCTTGCTATATTTATAGCATTGGAATATGCTGGGGGTTTTTTTCCTCCTGTTCTTATATTTGCTAAAGTTTTGCCATGTTATTATGAACTTGTTGTTTTCTTGTTTCGCTCACTTATTAAGAAATTGCTTCTGTGGCGTTTGTTGGAAGTGCCCCCCGTTTATCTGAGTTGCAAGCTGCTTCCAGCATGATGCAGTTTGTCTGTGTGTGTGAGAGGAAGAGACAGAGAGAGAACATACCAATCAAAGAATAAATGGCCGACTTGGGGTGCCTCCGCCGCGCTTTGCGCAATTAACGCGCCACAGCCGGATCTATTGTGTGGATCACGATCATGGCCAGCAATGATCGCTGCGGTCGGCTTGCTCGGGTGTGTTTTTTTTAACCTGGCTTATTCCCAAGGTTTCTACCTAGATTCCGTGTTCTGCCTAGGAAACTGCAGCGACAAATGACACTTGTAGTTTAAGGGCGAATTTTGGAGACGTAAAGGATTTGGATGTTTAGGAGGAAATGATTGATAACAGGACCCACAAAGGGAGAGGGGAAATCCAGGAGATTCCCTGGAATCTTGTTTTTAAGTTGTATGTTGGATATGCGGTTGTAAAATTCTAATTTGAAGAACGAACTAACTAAATAAATGTATTAATTGAAATAAAAAAGGGAAGGGAAGGGAACTGGAGCGACAAACGGGAAGCCCTTGGCTGGCTGGGCGGGATCCCCGCGCTTTGCGCCTCGCCTCCTGCCGGGGGCGGAGAGCCGGTGGGCGCGCCTGGCCAGGGACCGCCCTCCTCTCCGTCGCTTCTCCTCCCTGAGCAACATGGCTGCAGCCGCCGCCGCCTGCCCGCCCGTGAAGGTAAGCGAGGCGCCTCCCTGCTGCTGCTGCCGCCTCTCCCGGCTGGGGACGCAGCTCGGCGGCTCCCTTTCCCCGAAGGGGCGGCTCCCGAGGAACGGGAAGGGGGCCTGGGCGCGCACGGGGCCTGAGCGCGCGGGCGCGGCGTTGGTGCGGGCCGGGAGTCCTTGGGGATCTCCGTCGGCCTGCACAAGTCGTGCGCCTAGGCGCCTTTGGCGCGCGTAAAGGCGCCTTCTCCAGCGGTGCTGGAGCCTGGAGGGTGTGTGTGCGCGTGTGTGTGTGCGCGCGGAGTCCCCTAGGTGCACTTACCCGGGAGTAAACCCTGCTTGGGCGCGAGGAGTGCCTGGCGACAGGCCGGGCTTTGTGCACAGGCGACGGTGGGTTTCTGCAGACATGCTCGGGACTTGGCCAAGTGTCCCTGACTTTTGTTAAACCGAGGATTTTGCCTTCGGGGTCTTCTTCTTCTTCTTCTCCCACCTACTTCTTTCCTGGAAAGCACAGTGCTTTAGGAACACCGCACACTACAGTATTAAGAATCCCAGAATGAATACCCCCCAGATTTGTGCGGCAAAGAAAAGAGTTGCCCTGTGAATGCGCTTTTACCCCTGCCTCCACCCCCCTTGTTGCTGCCCCAAAGGAACATCTAGAGTAATGGATCTGCTGTAGGTGATCTGGAGTCTGAGACATGTGCTGAGTTCTCACCCTCTATTTTTTAATTATTCAGATGAGTTTCCTCTATTAGTCACAGAGGGGTTTTCCACCATGTGCTGCTCAAATATAGCTAATCAACGGCTTTTAGAAATCTGGTGAACTGTAGTGCGTTTAGACACCTATATCATACAATCCTAGAATTGTAGAGTTGAAAGGGACCCCTGAGGATCATCTAGTCCAACCCCCTGCAATGCAGGGATATGCATCTGTCCCATAAGGGGACCGAACCTGCAACCTCGGCGTTATCAGCCGCAAGTTTTAACCAACTGAGCTGTGAGTCACAGAACCTGTTCCTTATACAGGACACCACATTGCTTTTTAGGGCACACTGAAATACCATGAATGGGCTATTTGCATTCTTTGGATAGTTCCAATCCACGTGATCGATATTCCCTAGTTTGCAATTTCTGAAAGTGATTGTATCTGTTGCTTTGACAGAATGCATGCACTTAGATACACACACAGCAGCCGCTCCTCTTGAGAAGAGCTGTAGAGGTAGAATGTTTCCTATCACAGTGATACCTCGGGTTACATACGCTTCAGGTTACAGACTCCGCTAACCCAGAAATAGTGCTTCAGGTTAAGAACTTTGCTTCAGGATGAGAACAGAAATTGGGCTCCGGCGGCGTGGCAGTAGCAGGAGGCCCCATTAGCTAAAGTGGTGCTTCAGGTTAAGAACGGACCTCCGGAACGAATTAAGTACTTAACCTGAGGTACCACTGTACAGTGAGGAAACAGTGAGATCTTGCTGAATTTGTCTCTTTCATGCCTTCATTGTATGTATTTTTTTTTAACCTCTCGAGTTGTCCCTTTTTATCCTTTTTTAAAAAATTATTCTGTGTGTCCACAAAGTTCGAATGTGTCACACGTAGCCGACAGGAGTTAGGATTTGTTGAAGCTATAAGTACAAACCGTTTCCGACTTCATGGGAAAACCTTTAGAGTCATTCAGGCTTGTGATAGGTGATTCCGCCAGGGGGTGGATGGGATCAGGGCGAAACCTTGCCATTCCTCCTGACCTCCAAGCTCAGAGAGAAGGGCTGGAGCTGGACACTGTTCTGCTGCACATGAGAATCCCAGTTCTCTCTGAAAAGCTGGGGGGGAGGGATCCCCTGGAACTGCACTGGGCTTCCAAGACTTTCCCCTAGTCTTCTTTCTGAATGTGAAATTACAGTGGTACCTCGGGTTACATATGCTTCAGGTTACATACGCTTCAGGTTACAGACTCCGCTAACCCAGAAATAGTGCTTCAGGATAAGAACTTTGCTTCAGGATGAGAACAGAAATCGTGCTCCAGCGGTGCAACAGCAGCAAGAGGCCCCATTAGCTAAAGTGGTGCTTCAGGTTAAGAACAGTTTCAGGTTAAGTACGGACCTCCGGAACGAATTAAGTACTTAACCCGAGGTACCACTGTAGGAAGAAAATTGGTGGAGGCGGGGGATATTCCTGAAGTCACATTGGCTGGCACTCATGAACAGGGTTCGAAATTCAGCAGGCACATTTTGCACCGGGCTATCGGCCACTTGCGACCAAGAGGGAATGCCAGGATGGTATCTACCATCTGGAGGTACATGCCTAGGGATCCTTGGAGCTGGACTGTTTTCACACACTAATGACACACATCCTTTAGAATTCTATCCGTTGCATTTTATCTGCCCAATCAGAATGGATTTCTGGAAGCAAAATGCATTTTTGGTGCAACCTTAGCAGGAGTAATGAAGAAAGTTATAGCGAATTTTTTGTTGCTTGTCTTCACTTCTCCCACCCCAATGCCCTGCTCAAAGTTGTGAAGAATATTCTTACGTTATGAATGGCCTGTGTCACCATTAAGAAAAAGAGGCCAATACAGTGGTACCTCGGGTTACATACGTTTCGGGTTACAGACTCCGTTAACCCAGAAATATTACCTCGGGTTAAGAACTTTGCTTCAGGATGAGAACAGAAATCGTGCTCCGGTGGTGCGGCAGCAGCAGGAGACCCCATTAGCTAAAGTGGTGCTTCAGGTTAAGAACAGTTTCAGGTTAAGAACGGACCCCCGGAACGAATTAAGTACTTAACCCGAGGTACCACTGTATATATGTGGACTGTCCCTGGGCCAGGTAACATTTCTTCTTTAAGTTCTCAGATCTCTCAACCCAGCTCAAGGTTGACATCTAAAACTAGCCAGATGTTCAACTGAGAATCAGCCACAGTGAGTCCATCTTTCGAAAAATAAGACTTTAGAGCCGTCTTGCCCCAAAATGGCAACTAGACATTCCATTTTGGTGACTGTAACCTTGGTTTAAGGAGCCATTTGACACCTAGCCTATGTATATGAGTTCCTAACACTCTACCCAGGTGATAATAATAATAATAATAATAATAATAATAATAATAATAATAATAATAATAATAATTTATTTATACCCCGCCCATCTGGCTGGGTTTCCCCAGCCACTCTGGGTGGCTTCCAACAAAAGATTAAAAATACATTAAAACATCAGTCATTAAAAACTTCCCTAAACAGAGCTGACCATTTCTAAAATCCAGGTACCGTATTTTTCGCACGATTGGACGCACCGGACCATAGGACGCACCTAGTTTTTTTGGGGGGAAATAAAGGGAAAAAAATTTCCCTTTATTTCCCCCCCAAAAGCAGGTCAGGGAAACCGAACCAGGTCGAGGAACAGCGGGATAGTGGCGCTGCGCCTCCCTGCTGTCCCCCGAGCTTGTGGGGCAGGTTGATGTCTGCCTGGCCGCAGGGCGCTCTGCTTCAGCTGAGCTCCGCACGCCCCAAGCTTCGGGATTAGCGCAGTGGTCCGCTAGCCGTGGGAGAGCCGCGCGACGTCGCGGGGCTCTCCCAGGGCTAGCGGAGACCTTGCCGGCACCCAGAAGCTTGGGGCGCGCTGAGCTCCGCACGCCCCAAGCTTCGGGATTAATGCAGCGCTCCACTAGCCGTGGGAGAGCTGGGTCTCCCACAGCTAGCGGATAGCTTCCTGAAGCCTGGAGAGCGAGAGGGGTCCGTGCGCACCGACCCCTCTCACTCTCCAGGCTTCAGCGAAAGCCTGCATTCGCTCCATAGGACGCACACACATTTTCCCTTGCTTTTTAGGAGGGAAAAAGTGCGTCCTATGGTGCGAAAAATACGGTAGTTGTCTATTTCCTTGACATCTGATGGGAGGGCGTTCCACAGGGCGGGTGCCACCACCAAGAAGGCCCTCTGCCTGATTCCCTGTAACTTGGTTTCTTGCAATGAGGAAACCGCCAGAAGGCCCTCGGCGCTGGACCTCTGTGTCTGGGCTGAACGATGGGGGTGGAGAAGCTCCTTCAGGTATATTGGAATATTGTGAAGCTCCTTGACATCTGACGGGAGGCGGGTGCCACCACCAAGAAGGCCCTCTGCCTGGTTCCCTGTAACTTCGCTTCTTGCAGTGAGGGAACCGCCAGAGGGCCCTCAGTGCTGGACCTCAGTGTCCGGGCAGATCAATGGGGTGGAGATGTTCCACCGAGTGAAGGTATCTTCACTTGTGACCACAAGTGGCCAGTAATCAGGGACAAAATGTGCCTGGCTCCTGGCTAATTTCAAACACTGGCCAGTGGAATAGAGTTGCAGCTGTAGCTTCCCTGCAATGGAGTTGCTACCACTTTGGTAGGGGGGCGGTACTAGCCAGGTGGTGGTGAGATAACGGCTGCGCAGGTGCCCTGATAGAGCTTATCCGGTGTTTCTGCGTGGGGCATCCGCACAACTCTGGCCTCTCTGCTGCATCACCCCTCCCCACCTGAGAAGACCCCCACTGACGGGAGGCAATTGCTACAGTGGTCAAGTTGCTCCTCTTCTTTTCCCTTCCTTCATCTCAAGCACTTATCTTCCCTCTGGCCAGTCTTCAGCACAACGTTGTTGTTGTTTAGTCGTTTAGTCATGTCCGACGCTTCGTGACCCCATGGACCAGAGCACACCAGGCACTCCTGTCTTCCACTGCCTCCCACAGTTTGGCCAAGCTCATGCTGGTAGCTTCGAGAACACTGTCCCGCCATCTCGTCCTCTGTCGTCCCCTTCTCCTTGTGCCCTCCATCTTTCCCAACATCAGGGTCTTTTCCAGGGAGTCTTCTCTTCTCATGAGGTGGCCAAAGTATTGGAGCCTCAGCTTCAGGATCTGTCCTTCCAGTGAGCAGGGCTGATTTCCTAAGAATGGATACGTTTGATCTTCTTGCAGTCCATGGGACTATCAAGAGTCTCCTCCAGCACCATAATTCAAAAGCATCCATTCTTCGGCGATCAGCCTTCTTGATGGTCCAGCTCTCACTTCCATACAT